CTACCCCGCTGGGGACCGAATCAAGTTTTCAGAGTTTGACAGAGCCGCACTGTTACTATCTGACCTGAAAGATGACTCACCATATGAACTGATCGGCTTCGTTAAGAAGCTGGGTTTATTTGGTCGAGTGTGAATAGATGTGAGCCACAATAAACCCTTGCGGTTTGCGGTGAAGGGTCGACTAGACCCACTCACTTTTGACCTAACCTAACTCGTGACCTAAGCAAATAATTAGCATTAAGAAAAACCAGCGTTTCATTAAATGCAATTGTGGCAGAAGTTGTGGGATATTTTGAGGAAAGTGTGCAATTTTAACATTGGGACTAAGTATTGGTTAATAAATTGATGGATATAGCCGTTATTATGTGGTAGAANGGTTAAATACAATCTTAAGTCATCTTCAACATTTTATTTATTTCTGTATTCATTTTTGAGATAAGTTAACTTGACAACTCTTTCTCACGTAGTGCAAAACCCAACAAGAAATTTAAATACCAGTGTGAGAGAGTTCTTTGTGATCCCTCCCAACACCGATCCAAAAATCTAACAATGTAGTACCAGAATATTTCTTTTTCAACGCGGAATCACACGAGATTTTAATAAGCTGCTCCTTTTCATTAGTCGTTATTGTTTAAACACGATTAAGTAACCACGAACTGAACAGGCAACACTGACTACTGCAAAAACACTGCTTTGGCGGTGTTCACTAGGTAGGAAGTAATTTCCTTTTGACGTTCCATTCCTCCACCTTTTCGTCCTCACGTGTCGATGCGCACCTGCTCTTTTCTTAATTTTTCACACTTTTGAGACTTGAAATCTGCGCTTCCGTATCCCGCTCACATTATAATAAAAAATAATTGTTCTTTTGGTTTTCGTCTTCATTTTATTAATTTATTTTATTTTGATTTAGTCATCATTAAAATGGAAAACAAAAATTTGAGTAAAAACGAAAGGGATATAATAAAACATATGCTGGAGGTTTATCAAAGTTTCACTTTGTTAAGGGACACGTCCACTTTGTGTATACCTTGGATTTTAGAGTTTCTTCCTCTATTAAAATGTATTGGTTTGTTGGCCAGCCGCGTACCCCAGTTTGGGAACCACTGGTGTAAATCACCAAATATGTTCAATTCAGGTATGTTCCTACATGTGTAAAAAAATTAAAAAGGGAATTATCCTAGACCATATTCGAACTCTGGACTCGAGGTTGGAAGGCAAGGAGCATCTACACTAAGCTATCAGCAACTTTCAAGATGCGTGTCATATTTGTTTCTTAACATAACATGTTTTTTGAAATAGTTTACACATCGAAACAAATTTGACACAAACCTGTCAGTATTAATGTGTGCACGTAGATTTCTCACTGTTTTGATATTTTGTGTTAAATTGTGTTAACTAAAAATGGATATAAAACACAACCAAAAATTAGAGAAGCTGCTAAAGTTGCCTCACTAAATTTATTGCCGTAAAAAAAGAAAGTATGTAATATGGCCTATGAATTTTTTTTGAACTGGCAAAAGGGAAAGAAAACCACTTCATTTTCTGAATCGACTTTGTTAGTATACTTTACTGAATTATCTGCAAAATATCAATCTTCAACATTATGGACCTATTATTTAATGCTTAGAAATACAATCACCATACACCAAGGTATACATTATATACATTTAGAAAACTATAAAAAATTACGAGCAATTCTTGAATGAAAATCAGAAGGTTTTCTGCCTAAGACTGCGATAACATTTTCTAGGGAAGATATCAATAACTTTTCAACTAAAGCATATGATGATATAAGTACCTAGCAACAAAGGTAAGATATTAAGTAAATCTTTCACATAGTTATTTCTGTATAGAAATATGTAATAAGATACATATTTCACAAAAATTACATCCAGATGATCCTGAGAGAATGATGGAATTTTGTAACTGGTTCTCGAATAGGGTAGACCCTACAAACTTCTTGAAAAATACTATTTGGACCGACGAAAGTACTTTTTCGAACTGTTGTGTTTTTTTTTAATACTTGTGGTTTTAGAAAGGAATATCATAACATATTATACATCAATGAAATCAGAATGAGAAACACTATTTTTCTGTATAAAAAATTATATGGCGCTCATAATAGAAAAAATAGTTGATGATGATTTCCAGAAGACGAAACGTCGAATATTAAATCTGAACATGAAAACGTATAGCTGTAAAAAAGTATCAATGGAAATGTGTTTTTGGTTTCGAGCTATGTTGTCAAACAATGCTAGAAAAAAATAAAAACGAAAATTCCGACTTTAAGTTTTTTTCGGATATTTCCGGAAATACTCAGAAGTTTCATTTTGTTAAGCACAAAAAAACGTAACTTTGCCCCAATTTAAGCTTCGACGTTTGTCCTGTGGTTTAGGAGATTCCATTGGTGGGGGTTGAATTACAATTACCCTGTATATAAGTCTTCGACCAAGTTTTATATTTACCAAAATGGTAAATGTACAACTCAGAGAATTGAAACAAATTTACAAAAATTGGAAATGATATCGCTGCTTTCCTCAAATTACCGAATTGAAAACAATATTATGGGCACAATGTCCACAGATCTTCTGCAACAATACTAGTTGACGCAGGCGGGGATATTACTGCTCTCAAAAGACACGGTGAATGGAAGTCCACCGCTGTAGCAGAAAGCTACATAGACGAATCCGTCAAAAATAAAAATAATACGACCAACAAAATAGAAAAAGTAAACCTAACGAATCAATATACATACCAAAACATTAGTTTTGATATTTGTGATGCAGTGTTTGGAACCTTTGGTGTAGTAATGAATATTATTGGAGTTTTTTTTCCAACACCAAACCGTTATTTTAACACATTGACACGTGTTTTGATCACCAAATGATCATCTTCAAGAAGAAGATCAAACTGGTTTGATCTTCTTGGACAACAAAGTATATTTCTCTCTCTCTTTGTCTCCCGCGCGATTTGGGTGACAAGGCTTCGTTTTGGCGCCTTTCACTACCGTGTGCCAGATCTTTCAAAGAAATGGTCTCTCTTCCTTTCTGTTGAAATTCTCTTGGTGTTTGTGTATTTCTATGGCTTCTAAATACATTCTTGTTGAATAATGATTCAACTTTGCTAGCCTCTCGATATTTTCAAAAAGGATCTTGTCTTCTCTGTCGGACAATGCATGTTCAGCGACTGCAGACTTCTCGGTCTGTCCCAATCGGCAACTCCACTTGTGCTCCACTAGGCAGGTACCTTTTCGTCTGACCAATATAAACTTAGGTAGTAGTTAATGTGGTAGAGTATAAATTTGTTGTGAATTATGAGTAACATCATTCTCGTTTGAAGAAGTGAAACTGTAAAACTGTTTTAGCAAACCTTTCACAAAAATTGTATTGATTAATGTTGATTTTCATCAAGTATGTTTCGGTTCTAACCAATTTCATTTAATGATTTGCTTACTATTTTCTGATGATGATCAGCATAGGAAATAACCACTTTTTTGAAAACAAATTTGAAAAAATGAATATATGTTGCAAAATATGAAATTATAAATTAATAATTGAATTTTCATTTGTTTACTTCACAAAAATTGATATTTTATTTGGTGTAAGCAAATCACAATGTATTTTTTCAATTATAAATAATTCTTTAGTGATTAAAAAAGTGTCATACTTTGGAAGGATTTCTAAAAAAAAATTATGGGCTGCAAAAGTCCTTATTGATTCTCACTGTTTGAAAACAGTGCACTAGTTAATTCTACCCAAGATAATAAATATACAATTTTCACAATGATGAAGCTACTATGTGTTTCACTACATGGTAGCTTCATCAGTTACTGGTCATCGTACCAGTCTTCTATCGTCTAGCGCAGGAGTCTCCAAACTACGACCCGCGGGCCAAGTCAGGCCCGCCAGTGTCATCAATCCGGCCCGAGACAGCCAATGATTTACTGTCATCAAT